TCCTCGCTCATATCACCATCCTGCCTTTCAAGATGCCTTCATGAGCCTGGTGTTCAGTTGCACAACTCAAACTGAGGGCAGTCCTTGACCTGCCCAAGCAAAGTATTGGAGATAATACACCAGCATGAAAAAAGAAACCATGTAGATAGAAACTGCTCTGTTATTGCCAGGAAACTCTAAACCAATCCTACAGGTCTTTCAACATCAGCAGTGGTAGAGAAAGGACATGCCAATGGCAGGATGTGGTAGAAGGGACAAGGTAGCCACGTCAGGTCTTGCCACAAGCTCAGGATGTTACGCTTTTACACCTCAAAACTACACCATGAAAAGCAAATTTGACACAGGCAAGCATAAACTCACACATACTTATGCACGCTTACAGAAAATACGTCTCAACCACAAATATTTTCTGCTGTTTTTCACTGGTTGGATGATCACTTCCAAAAGTCCCTGGTGACATTTTTGATTGTTCTAGTAAGGCTGAACTGGCTTACACAACTCTGGCCCACGTGCTGGGAATACCACCATTGACTCTTGGACAAAAACAAATCTAAAAGTTTGGGAATTTGGGAACTCTCAGCAGCTGGCTTTCTCTAGCCCACAGGGAAAGCCAACAATAAACGGTCTAGTACAGAGAGGAAAGACATGGACTGTTGTGTTAAAATTGGTGCCTGACATACAGCAAATGTCAGTGGAGTAACCACACATGAGTTATTCTGCAATTATGCTTGGTGCCTTGGTATCGGCTAGATTATCCCTTCTTTTTTTTGCGCAAACTCTTCGATCTCAGATTTCTATTAACAAGGAAAATCTCCTTGCTCGTTAGCAGGTTATACTGCAAAAGGGAGCAAGAGACCTTGTCATCTCCTTATTCCCTGGCTGAGCCATACATAGCACAAACATCCCAAGAGAAAGCTCAGGCAAAAAGCCGGGCTTGGCTTATTGAATGCACGCGAACTGTTTTTAAGGTGATCTCATTCCTCCTACTGCTTGACCCACACTGTCTTGATGCAAGTCAGATTGTAAACAACACGATTTGGTTGCCACCGTGCTAACCTCCGCATTCCTCTGACTCTGAGGGAGAAAGTCCCTTCTTCCCTTCTCACCTGGCTTCAGATGGAAGTCTCGTGAATGCTGTGGATTTGGTGTGTAGTTTTCTAATTGTGGTTTTATTTGAATTGCCGCAAAAATGTTGGGTGAGATTAAACGCGGGCTTCTCCTTTTGAAGAGGTCCTTGCTTAATATGACTTTTACACCCTGTTTTCTCACTAACTTTTAATTTTTCTCTCCTTTGAGTCTAGTTGCAGCTCCAGCTCCTACAGTGCAGTTGTGAGAGCCTTCCCTTGGTAGTGTGCTAAGTGATATTTATGCATAAACTTTTGCTAATTGCTGATTCCATTGGCATTCATGAACCTATGCTGGAATGAACAAAGCTTTCATTCATGTTTATATATTAGTTTCCAACATTTGTATGTTTGTAATCATCAGACTAAAACCAGCTTTCATTTGCAGAGATGTAAACTGAGGGTAACTGAGTCAGCAGATAAACTCTGTTATGCACATGGAAAGTTTTCTTCTAGTATCATTGAGAGCTGAGTTTATCACAGAAACTTCCCAATTTCGTAACTTGGTATAGTTTGTTCAGGACTGGTGACTACAGTTATGGCTACATTAACAAGCAGTTTGGAACAACAGAAGTCAATCTCTAGAGCTCATTTGGGTGCTGGAGACTTGACATAGGCACTTTTACAGGTCACTGGGACTCTTAGCTCAGATAAGCTCTAAGTTTGCTCCCGTGCACTAATGCTCTGCTAGTGCTGCCGCTCACCTCCCAGACTAGTTCCGTCCAAAGAGAATCCAGGTCAGGACCTGCGGTGCCCTTCCTGATGTGAACCCATGCTCAGCAAGCGGGCAACAGCTGAGCATTGCCTGAAAAGCGCTCTCCTGATCTAATGAACGAATGCACTAACAAAGACACACCCTATGAGTAAATTACAGAGACTTAGACAATTAGAATATCTCTGTGGCAATCCCTAGCCATCAAACAATTTTCCCAGCCATATAATTGCTACTATTAACAACACAAGTTCCCAATTTAACAAATGGAAGTAAGATAAATGCCCACATCATTCTGGCTTCTCCCAGCTTTATGATTCAGAGCATAGCAATCTGTTGCCCTCGGTCTTTTGGAAATAGTGCCCATGTGATAATTTTAATGACAATGCAGCGCTTCTCCTCGTCTGTTCTGGAAACCTGAGAGCGTTGACTCTTTTATCATGGAGGAGGTTCTGATGGTCAAGTGAATTGTGTCTATTGTGCCCCAAGGACCTGTACCTTATTCTCTTCCACTCAGCTGCCCACGTCCTTCCTCACTCTTTACACCTACCAATAGGTAACTCAGCAAAGATCCAAAACCAAGGAATACACCTGAACAGTCTGGAATCACCAGGGAGAGGAACCAAGGAGGTTTCTGGTGTAGCACCATGGGAGAGGATGGGTGGTGGAAAGAGGTGATGTGACACATTGCTTAGATTTTCTGTGTGCTTTAGCATTGCTGCCTTGTAGGGGAACAGTTGCATCTGCCTTGTTCTCCAGTACTCTACCATCTTCTGGCACTGGCTCTGTTTTGCACGCCTCCAGCATGGGAAACCAGGCTTCCTGCCTCCTTGTATTCAGAAGTTTTATCAGTCATTTCTTCATGTCATGCCATGCTGCTGCAAAAAAGCATCATCTGTGTGCATATCCTTTTTATTATTATCCTTTATCCCCCTCTGAAACTGTTAACATGTTATTGCTCATCAGCTGCTTCATAGGAACTATTTATGTACATGCTTTGAATCTCACTTGCCCCTGAAGTAAGTGTAAAAGACGTCAAGTAAAACTACTTATCCTTAGATAGTAGACAGAGCCCCAGACAGACAGTGGGCCAAGACGCAGAAGGATGATATCGCCTTAAAAACGCTGTAATTACATGCATTCAACAAGCCTGGCCTTTTCCCAGAGCTGTCTCCGGGGACGTCTGTGCTATGTATGGCTCAGCCAGGCAACAAGGAGAGGACAAGGTCTCTTGCTCCCTTTTGCTGTCTAACCTGCTAATGAGCAAGGAAATTTTCCTTGTTATTAGAGGTCTGAGATTTGGATAGCAAACCGATGGCACTTGCTCGTGCTGTTTGTCCATAGTAAAAGACAGCCAGCTATATTGGCCCAATCCTTCATCATGCTGGCTGCCCAGCAATACTTTTTTGAGTAGTTCTTCCCCAGGAGACCAGTATTCCAGATAGGAACAGCTTCTGTAAGCAGCTTTTTAATACAGGCCATGAAATATGCAAATAAAAAAGGCGAAAAAAAAGAAGGGGAGGAGACAACTGATAACTGCTGATGTTTTTATGCAGTGACTAAACAGATGTTGAACTATAGCTTTAGAAAGGTGCTACATTTGCACAGCCCAGTCCTGCTCACAGCACCTGCACACACATCCCATTACAAAGCGACGCGCAGATTCATCGCTAAGCAATAACACAGGGCTGCTGCTCAGACCTGCACAAGTCCTTTGTACAGGAGAAGGCACTTGCAAACACAAATATTCTTCAGTCAGTGAGAAATCCTGAAAAGGCGATACTCTTCCAGTTTGTTTTTAGGCCAAATCTATCAGGACCTGAAATTACTAAAGCCTCAGTCATTATAATTACCACGAGGAACAACTTCAGTTAACTTTCGATACAGTTTTGGCTTCCTCAGACTGCCAGCTGTATCTTGACAAAGTTTATAACTGAAGGTTAAAGCTTACTTCGTTCAGAAAAAACAAGTAAGACTGGGGTGCTAGAAAAGTCTGTGATGACACAGATGTGAGAAAATAAGGCAGAACCTGGTTTATTCAGCTTCCTGCAGGTCACATGATGTAATTAATTCCAAATGGTTTTGGTCTCTGTATAGAAGCTTCCAGCAAAAGATTTAAACGATGTAATAATTACCTTTTTCCTTTCATGATCCTTCAGACTATACCTTAATTTATGATGCTTTTAACTAGCATACATGTATCCTGAGGCTATGATGGGTGCACATTTATTTAAGTCAAAAGATAAATCTTAATGAAAGCTTTTTTTAACACAATAATTAATGTATTTTGATCATCATAACAGTAATTATTATAGACACAAGAACAGAATCAGATCTCAGCAGAAGCCATGAAGATCCTAAATAGGGTGGAGTACCAGCACTGCCCTATTATTTTGCCAAGAAATGATACATCAAAGTGGCATCAGTGAATCATCATACACTACTAGGAACTACACCCAGTGAATCCAAGAGACGGAAATATTAGACGCACTAACCTCTACCACAAATCACAAATTATAATCGCACAGCAGATAGTGCTCAATGTACCTTTTCTCACAGTTACCAAGTTATGCTCTCCTTATACCTCCCCCAGCATGATTGCTCGTCAGATTAAACAACAAAACCAGAAGAACCATAAAAACCTAGGAATTTAGGGCTTGATATTAAGGGTCCATCTATTTTTAAGAACACAGTTTTATTTTGTGAATGATGTCAAATAACACAATAAGGCAGCACTGTTCTCTTAGAAACCTCTTAAAAAAAAAAAATAATCTTTTTTATGGGATGATACGCACCATGAGAGGCAAGGCCAGCAATGAAAAAGAACACACCCACTCTTACCTGCTGTCACCCTCCCCTTACCAGAAATGACTAGTATTCTGATTTTCTGCCCAGTTATTAAATCATTGTGCCCATACACACGCACAGGCAGACTGTGACTTGCAGCCAGCCCTTTTGCAATGGCACACAGCAAAGAAGTCAAACAAAACTGAAAGCATTTTAAAAACCCATCCTACTCATTCTTCCCGTGTCAGACGTACTTTAAGAATTAGTTTCCCCAAACTTAAAAAAGTCTGACAATACACAAGGGGACTTTCTATAAAAGAAGATGCCAGCAAAAATATAGGAATAAAGAATTTCTTTAAGAAAAGGGTATATGGTACCTTTTCCAGTCAAAGATTCTTCTTGTATTTTCCTCACTGCTTCTTGGCCCTCACTCTCATTGTTTCCAGCTGTTACAATACAGAAAATGGAAAATTAGCGATGCAATCAACTTAAGGACAGTGAGTATAAGCATGCCACTATGAAGGGCTAACCACTGTGTAAAACCAGTTGGAAGTTATAGGTGGAAAGGCTTCATTCATTACTGCCAGGCAGCAGAGGTTTTCAAAGAGGGCTGTAAAAACACACTGCTCTTCACACGACTTCTGCCTGTTTATCTCATTTATTCATATGAGATGTGACCATCTGCTGGCTAGGCCTGCAGAGCTGAGATGCGAGTCTGTAAGCCAAGTGAATAATATCACATCCAGATTCTATAAAAGTTTCAATATAGGTTAGAGAGGACCTCCCCTTGCTCTTTTTTCAAAATGAAGACTTTCACAGTTGCAGGAAAGGCCCAACTACCCTGGCCTAAATGCTTAGGTGATGTTTTACTAGCACTAACATAAAATGTGATTGAGCATAAAATAAATGTCTTTTGTGCCATTCAGCTTAGGTGGACAGTTAGTAATTGCCTGACATTTGTCTGGCAATTTTTTTATAGTAACTTATATCAAAGGAAAAAACACAAGCACAAGCAAAATATTGTGCTTGGTGTACAAGTTAATTTTTTTAAATTAAGTTTGACTTTCCATTTATCCATTCACAAACATTTTCCATAGCATGACGCATCAAAATACCTATTGTTTGTTATTGAAATTGGATATAAATACTGACATCTCTCATGAATTTCATGAAGCTGCCACCTTCTTTTCCTGATTATATAAACCTCTTGGTTTCTATACAGGCTTCTATACAAGTCTCCTGTCCTCTCATTCACTTGATAGTTACGCAGCAGAATTTTCAGGTTTTCCACTTTTTTTTCTTTCTTATTAATAATGGTGAACCAGCTCTATTAAAGACAACGAAAGCATCACAGTGTCACAGAATAATTTGAGGCTGGAAGGGACCTCAGGAGGTCACCTGGCTCAACCTCCTCCTCACACTCGTTGGTACATGCTCATATTTACTTTAGGATGTTAAAATATGCTTTATGGTGCTATTAAGTTGGATTAATTCGATTTCACAGGGAATATGTTCCAAAAGTAGGACTAACCCCTCTGAGATAAATAGATTGTGTGTTGTCCATTGGTTGCACTAGCTGAAGGCTCAGAGCATTGAATTGATATCTTTGGGACAACCTGACCACTTTGAGAAGCTAGGCTAATGCGTTCTTTTGAGGATGGAATTTTTGTTGTGTTTCTTCAGTAAAAAACAACAATTTGCAACACATCTTTGTTTTCATGATATGCAAGAAGACTCGATATTTACATAAACGTAGCCCAAAAAAAGACATTTAGCATTCCAGATACTGGAGAGAAAACAATTCCCACATAAAACCTAGAGGCACATTGGTCTATAACTCTTCTCTATACATTCCATTAACTATAGAATCATATTGCTCAGTCTGACCAAGAAAGGAAGAAAACAAAACAAAACACAACACCAAATCAGACATTTGCAATATTTTCTTCCTGCTGTTGATTTTTTTCCCTTTAAAATCATCCAGCCTTGTACAAAACAGAAACATTCAGCACGATGCTAATTTCCAGATATAGATGCAGCATCAACAAACAAACCCTCCAGTGAAACTGCCATTTCTGGGGAATTCTGTGCACAGAGGTTATGGACAAGGGAACAATTTTCCTCACTGTTTCACTTCAAGTGATGTACTACAGTAAGATTTCAAACTCAGTGTGTTATTACGCTGGATAGAGTCAGGGTAGAAACAAAAATACTTTGGTGCCAATTCTGTGAAGGTCTCATTTGATTCCTCTTTCATTCAGCACTCCTCACGCAGAGAACAGGCTTACTAAAGCCTCCAATGTCTTGATTTAACTCTCAGTATGTTCACTTAATTTGTTCTTTTAAAAGAGCTTGTGTTCACAACAAATCTTAATTTGCTTTATTTTGCTGTTATATAAATGGTTTTTCATTAAAGCTCAGTGCCTTCCAAATGAGCTCATTTTATTCATATTTGCATATTTTTCACTCTAGACCTCTGGGAAAAAATAATTATTTTGCTAAACAGTCACTTCAAATGTCTGTTTCCAGCCTGATTCAACAAAGAATTTGAAAAACCAGATTCTGGAGGCTGGAGTATCTCAAAACTGAAATAGCCTCAGTGAAAGCTGCTACTGTAATAGAGGCTTTTGAAATACTTCTTTCAAAGACAATCCTGCAAGAAAGTATAAAGACACTGAACAAATGACCAAAATCCTTACCAAAAAGTTCAAAGACACATATAACAGAAAGACACCATAAGACTGGGAGAGTAATCTACGCTTCTGAGTTAGCTGAAGGAGATCAGCATCCCCTTGCCAAGGATGGGTGGGAGAGGAAAGAGGCACTGCGCTGTTGTACTGCTCCTCCCCTAGTACATCCTTCTGGGATCCTCTACGCAAAGTGGTAGACTGGTAAGCATGTAAAAGAACAACCTCCTCTGAAGTGCTACATTAATTCTTCAAAATTAAAAAAAAAAATTTTAAGTCACCGAGTTAGCATGACCAGCTTTAGGTTGGGAAAGAAACAAAAATAATTTGTATCTTCTTGATGAAGATGGATCACTAAAGGGCACAGCCTTCAAGCACACTGAACAGGAGTGCAGCGCTCTAAGGAGGTGGACAGTGTACTATGCGAGGGTCAAATCCTTACTACTATCAGCTGGCTTAGATCCTCAGTAGTATAATTGTAGTGATTCTTTAAAATCTTTGTGATACACAGGAGAATCCTCTGGCTGGACTATTTGCCAATGATTCACCATAATTTTCATACTTGCAACATGCCAGAATTTACCCATGCCAGAATTCATCCATTTAAGTGCTGTGTCATCTGTAGTGTAAGATCTGCTTACTCTGGATTCAAGTGGTTTGGAGGGCAGGGTAAGAAAAGGAAGACAGACCATGTTTTTTCTACAGTGAGGGAATGTGAACAAAAGCTTTGAGAAAAAGGGATTCAACATCTTGAGAGCTTAGATCATCAAAGTACCCCAAACCATAATAATCTTGCTTTTCATGCTAATTTAAGGTGTCTCTTGAGAACTCAAAATAGATCTAGTTGTCTCAAAAACTGTTTATGCAAGCTGTTCGGTGCCCTATCTGATGTTTTTCTTCTGCTTAGTCCCCACAGAATAGTGAAAAATTCAGGTGAGAATGATTCAATAACAATGCTAACTACAATCAGTTCTGAAAATAAAACTAGTAACACAAAAATAAATTCAAGTCTGAATGGATGCACCTGTATAAAATAAGATGTCATTTTAATGGCATGAAAAATTAGAATTCTTAGTAAAATACTGAAGCTAATGTTGAAAAAGAAAGATGGAAAACAGATTTAAATACAACTTTTAGTCAAAAAAAATTGACTCTCCTCTTCAACATCCATCTACACTAATGCCACAAGTGAAAGCACGTTGATCTAAAGCCACCACAGAAGTACATAGAAAAATTCTTATCAGCAGCAATAGGCTTTGGATCTTGCCCTAAAGGTCAGGCTCTGTCATCTTAATCACTTCAGTTCATCCTAAACCTGAAAGTTATTTCAGGGATTTCAATAGCATTATCACAGAGGATTGCTCAGCCTGAATAAGGACGGCAAAAGCACAGTCCAAAGGAACCCAGCACAGCTGGGAAATACTTACACTATTGCTAGTTAAGGGGACTTGATACGTCTAGCTGTATTCTTTGTACAATATTTTTAATGTCTTTGAATGAGAAAATCTCTCCAAAAGAATAATTGCTACTCCTGCTCATAATTTATGTACAAAATTGATCCTAATAAAAAAGCAAGATATTTTCCTTTTGGTGTTTTGTAAAAATAGGAACTTGCAATCTTGACATTTCAAGGGAACACACTGCAGGGCATTTGCTGCGGCAAACCCCAGGAAGGGACGAGAGGGAAGGGGAGGCCAGGGTGAGGTGCCCAGTGGCAGGGCAGCTATGCTGGCATATCGCCTCCCAGTCCACCCCACGTACCCCAGCCTCTGGTAGCTGTGACCGCCTCATTCACTGGTGCCTGGGCAACCTATCTACCTGAGACAAATGCTCATCCCTTGTCTCATTTAGATGTAATTACACATCAGTTAATCCCTGAAATGATGAACAGCTTTCCAGGGTTCTCTGCCTGCCCCACGGCCCTCCCCACTCCCCTCTGATCACTTCAAGTAACCCAAGATTAGAAGTGGTGCCCATAAGCTCTGATGCATATGTGCATTACCAGGAGGAGCTTGGTGGCATGGTAATAAATTCTGTATACACATATACCGTCTGATTAAGGAGTTTGCAGAGGTTGAGGATTAGGTGTCATTGTGCAACAGAATATAAAAAAGATTCCAACTGGAAATTTGAATTAAGGTGCTTCCTCTGAGTAGAATAATCCTCATTATGGTTAAAAGGGAACTGATGTAACTGGAGTGCTGGCCTGAAGACAAAGCTTGCAAGGGCACCCAGAGCCTCAAGAGAAAAACAAAGTCCTATCAGCTGGTGTTACGAGGATTATGATTTTGTGAGCATGCATGGAACTGCACAACAAATAGCACGTGCCAAAGACAGAGGAATGACTGCCCCCCAAAAAGCTCTGAGGAAGAGGAATTTGAACTAAGTACAATATGAGTGTTTTTTAAAGAAATTGATAACATATTCCATAAAAACCAATAAATCTTGTTTAGGAAAAAGGAACATAGGTCTTGAGTTTCACCCATAAAACTTCCAAGTCATTAATTTGTTATTCAGTAAAGCCAGATATAAGGATGTAAATTGGTATTAAAAAAACATTCAGAAAGTGATAGAAAGCTTCCTTATGTCTACAGGTACCACATGTCCTTTGTCCTCCAGTTCATCACACAGCAGCCACAATTACAAACATGCCTTTTTGACATGAAAGGCAAAAATATGATTCTAAGAGTTCCTTTGAGAAAAGAAAAAAAATGGAGTAAAGAGGAGGATGTCAGTTTGCAGAGAGAAAAGAAATCTCC